CTCTTCCTTTCTGAAGGCCACCCAGGGCATTTCACACTTCCACCCAAAGGAATTCTGACAGCATTTTGCAAATATTAAATGCGCCCTTGTTCACTTTTGCCTTTCTGCCTCTTCTGTGTGGAGGGAAGGACCACGACCCTGGGGACAGGTTTGCAGACACTGTTATGAGTCCTCAGCTTCTGGAAAGGCCCTCTTACCCACCAGATCCCACTGAGTGGTGTGGTTCAACTGCTAAAGTCTCCCCTGCTGTAAGATGGAAAGCAGCAGCAAGAAGAGGCTGCAATAAGCATCACTTGAGGACATTTTTTACCCTCTGTCATCAGCTCAGCTCCCTCCTCTGCACCACAGCATCAGCTCTCCTCACAGCAGCTCTACTGCATCCTGCTTACCCTTCGCACTCTTTCTGCCTTCCAAGATACCGCGAGGCCCGTCAGCCTTAAATTTAGAAAGCAAACCTGAATTTTGAAAACCTCATCCCATCTTCCTCTTCCGCTTGCCCACACTTAGCCCTATCTTCCCCTAGGACCCAGAACTTCTTTCCCCTATCCCAAAAGTTTAAGTCATTCCCATTTCTCCATAAGAAGATCAATGCTTCACCGAAGTCCCTACTGAACTGCTGGGAAGAGGGAACAAAAATGGCAACAGAGTAGGGCAAGATTTGCTGTTGCTGTAAAGAAGGAATGTGGACAGCCAGGGAAACAGAAGTGAAAACCCTGGAGCTTGCTCTTCTTGCTTTCTCCAGGGTGAGAAGACAAGTGTTGCTACCCCTTCATATGCAACCACAGCTTCAGCAGCTGTAAAGGACTTTGCAAGCAAGACACTGCATGGACTGTGCCTGCTGCTGGAACAGCTGATCCTCATCTCATTTTCAAAGGCAGCGATTTGTTGCTTCTGGCACTGACATGGTTTTCTTATGACAAAAGTTAGCCTTGTTGCCACTGGCCAGTCTTATTAGTTTGTTCACTCTCCTCCAGTCTCAAGCTCCTCCTGTAATCTCAAATCCATCTCTTTGCCAAATCCCCATGCAAAATGGTGTTTCCTCCTTCCCCATTCCTGCTGTCACTGCAATACTCGCTCCTCCAGGAGTGAGCTTACTGCCCCCATGGCATATTCTTTCCTGCTTCTCATCTTCCTAGATAAAAATCTCCTTTCAGTCTTAATTGACTCCTACACATATTCCTCGCCGCCTCTTCACCATCTTGACTCACTCTCCAAGCCCTCCCCTTTTCTTATTCTGACTTCCTTTAATGCAAGATATCTTGTGGGTTTCTTCATAGAAATCATCCTTATTTTTTTTTCTCAGAACCCTAGTTTTGTCCAAGGCTAAGAAGCTCATCTAGTTGCTTTGCCTTCCCCCCCCCCAGTTATCCCATTGTTTTGTTTGGTTTTTCCCCCCTCTCTTCTTTATAGCCATCCTCATCTGTGCTCGATCTTCTTACCAAGCTTTCACTGTTTGTTTTCCCATCAGTATGTACATGCACTCCAAGTGCTGGAGTTTAATCTTGGAGCCTTGCCTCTCCAGCAATTGCTCGATCTCACGACATCTTTCACTTACTGATCAAAACAGCTAGTCACTGTCAGGAGTGCCTTTCTTTCTTCTTCATTTTAGATCATCTCCAAGCTCTTTCCACTCCACAGTTCCACCCATCCTGCTCTCACCACAGACCAGACAGGCTTGTAGGCAAAGCCCAAAGCCCCTAACTCTTCTGTACTTGGACTTCCTGGACTCCATTGCCTTAGATAATGAACCAACATGTCCTTGAGATAGCTCATCTTCTCCTAACTCCATGGCCATCCCTGTCTCTTCAGCCTGTCTCCTGGAGAAACTGCCTCAGTTTGCCTTGTCTCTGGCTTTTGGTGGGTCCCATCCAGCTGCAGATAGAGTCCTTTGGGCAACTGCACCTGTATGCACAGATTCAGCCACTGCTTCAGCCACAGTAGCTTGTGCTTCTGCTTCTTTGCTCCAAAGCTCTTCCTGTCTAAACTAAATTCTCTGCTAGTATCTGACATCTCTGCTTGTGTATCTTGCTGCCAGTTCTGATTTTAGTATGCTGCATTTGAGACCATCTCCTTCCCCTTAAGATAACCCCTTACTATCTCCTTTTTTGGTCACTGCAGACATCCCTCTCCTCTTGCTGCAGATCTCAGTGAATCTGAATGTCAGCCTTTACCTCCAATTCCCTGCATGGTCATCTGAGGCAGGCAGTGCCTGCATCCACCATGCTGTCTGAGTAACAGCTCTAAAATGCTGATCATTTTAGAGTAACAACCCATCCACCCAGTCAGGTTTTCATCCAAGTCCACAGCCATCCTGAAAGTTTTCCTTTCTGCCTCAACATAAGGCAATCCTGCCCTACAGACTGCTGCTGGAAAGCCATTCTCTTAGTCCAGGACACTGGCCACATCACTTTTCCTTATTTCTATTCGATAGCTTTTCTTCTCCAATATATCAGATATCTCCACTGTCAAAGTCCTGTTCGGCCTATCCACATTTTACTGATCCTCTCTGTCATCAAAGGTTAACTCCCACCTCTGGTGAAGCTGTGATTTCATGCTCCTCTGCCCATTTGTTCTCTTTATTGAGAAAAGATAATCAGTTCTTACAGCACTCCATTACCATTAGGTAATTTAAAAATAGCTATAAAGGTTCATAATTTTCTGCTGTCAAACTCTCCCTAAAATCTGGCTTTATCAGAGGATCAACTGGCCAAGAGCTACAGAACAGCAGAAATTTACCTTGCTACTCAATATCCTTATTGCTTCTCTGTCTGCCTTTCTCTTGCTCCAAGTCTTATACTTGGCTGATGTCCTCTGAATACTTACAACTTTGCATTACACTCTCAGAAACCCAGGGATAGAACAGTCCTGGTTTGGGTTCAGCACCCTTACTCACAAAGACTCATTTTGAAAATGAAAATTGAGATATAGACGTGTATTGAAGAAGATTTTATAATTTGGAAATGCCCAATACCAAATCAACATTTCATAAGGAGGGCACAAAAGAGCTATGAGTTTATTAGCCTGGTTTTGCCCCTCTATGTTTCCAGAGAAGTTACAGTCTAATGCTGTGAGCTGGTTTGGAAGAATGATGTTGAAACTGCTTAGCTGTACCCTTTGATACTGCCAAGAGCAAAACACAAACAAGCCCCTAGCAACTGGCCAAATTTTAGCACCATGTTCTTGGAGCAAGAGGTTGGAGTTATGTCTCTCTTTTTACCAAGGAGTTCACTGCTGCCTGAGGTCAGGACTTCAGCTGACCCTTCCCAGCTGACGTTTCACTGGGCAGATACAAAACTGTTTGGCTCCAGATGCCAAAGAGAAGGTACTTTCGAGGGAGAGGGAAGAGGAGAGCACCCTGAGTTGTGCTCCTGACCTCTTCCACGTCAGGCAGAGGCAACCAGAAACAGCAATCCTGTCTAGCCGCATTCCGCTGATAAGCATATAAATACTCAGCAGGCACAGAAGGATATTTGAGCAGTGATGTTATTTTCCTGAGCTCCTCTGGTTTCTGGAATGCAGTGGATACCCTTGGCAGGTGAGTACCCTTGAATCTGTTGCAGTATATACCTCCTGAGCTCACGCAGGACACCCTCCCCATCTTCAGGCTTCCACTTGTAGACAGTAGCACAGCTACAAAGCTAAGCAGCAAAGAGACAACACTGACTCCAGGAACAGACCCCAAACTCCACCTCTTGTTGCTCAGGTAGAGGCAGCAGTTATTTATACAGAAGATGCTGGGGAGGGATAGGATCCAGAGAATATTCCTGTCATTCCTATCCAATCTAGGTCAGAACATCTTTTTTTTTTTTTCATTTCAGAAATTGAAGCTAGCAGTGCTGATACACAATTATAATGTTCTGGGCTTTCAGTACATTCATAAGCTGAAGAGTAATTATTTCCTTTTGTTTGCTCAGTATATTTAGCAAAATAATTATAATTCACTAGATTGTTTTCTTTGTTTTGATATATTGGCATATTCTCTCTCTGTTTCCTTTCATAGAAAATGCAGTGTCATTTTTGCATGCACATTTGAAGAGGGGAGCGGTTTACGCATGAGAAAAAAACAAACAAAGTATTTTCTGGCAGAAATTCCACTTGAAGAATCTTTTCTAGTTCTCCAAAAAGAGATCAAATCTATAGAAGAAATAACTGTGAAGGCAGATGCTGCACTGCCTGCTAGGTGCAGACTGTTCTGTTCATAGGGGTGAGTCAAAACGTGGCATCTTCCTAACCTGTGTTCTATCAGGCCACATTGCCAGAGGAAGGAAGTCAGTAACAAGTCTGCCTACAAGCTGGAACAGCCTTGCTGCGTTCAACAGCAAGGAGCTCAAGTCATTCCCCTGCTTGATGCCACTTACGTTAGCCTAAAGCTGGAACATAAATTGTGGCGCAGGCACAAGCCACTCGGATACCGCAAGTCTCATTTTTAAGACAAAGGTGTACCTTAAGCAATAAAACCATTTTGAACTTGGGATTCCAGGTATCACCGATTACAGAAACCTGCATCTCTCTTCCCAAAATGCTTTCAGAGGCAGCACATCCAAAAGCCCTTTCAAATGGGTCTTTCCCCTTTGTTTCTGTGCAAGTGGGTTATTATTTTTAATTATTTCTATTATTTCTCATTGGGCCTGACATTCTGGGTTTGATGTTGGCTGTAGGTCTGCTAATCTGCACTCAAGACAATTTCCAGGGAGAAGTCTTTCCTGCTGTTCTGAGCAGATGGGATCCACGTCTCTTGAGACAGCACACAGCCCTGCCTGATGGCACCCAGGAGGATGTTAGGCACAAGGCTCCTTTCGGGAGGAGGCCTGGAACACCCCCCAGTAGATTACCGGCACTATGCTCAAGTATTTTTAACAACAGATTCAAAACCTTTTTCTTTCTGAAAGAGTTATTTTTGAAGCTGTATTTTAATGCTTTTTGTTCCGCTCAATACCACTGAAACATGCTGTATAGAAAAAACTGACGTAAATACTGACAAGGGAGCAGAGAAGTGGAGGGGGAAGGAAGAGAACTGGGCCTTCACTACTTCTTCCCCGCTCCCTCCTTTTTTTTTTTTTAAGGTAGCATCTCCTTACCAAACTCAGCACAAGCATACGTCTTGCTTGTGGAGATTTAAATGTTTTGCCACTGCAAACAGGATGTTATGATTTTGTCAATTCAGTTCTCAAACCTTGCTTGGGAAGGGGGAAGGGAGAAGGGATATACATGCAAATCAAATTTTATCCTTTAATGGACTTGCACTCACAGCATGTCCCACAGCACATTATAAGCATTTACACAGTGATCACATTTCTGAAGCCTTTATCTTCCGCCCACTGAAGCCAGTGGCCATAAGGATTAGATTTCGTATCTTAATGAGAGCTCAGTCCCAACACCACCGTGTCTCTCACTGCCTGTTTTGTCACGATGGAAGTGCACCTTGCTGGCATGGCTTAGTGAGGACACTCCTCCGTTCTCTACCGTAACAGCTTTTTAGACAGCTGTGTTGTCCTGAATTATACAGCTATGATTTTTACTGTCTATAAAACAGAAAAAAATTGTAATCATTCCAAATTTATTTTATGTACACCTGAATGATGTGATGCATCTACATCTTCAATAATTTCGTGCAGTGGGCAAAAATGTGATGCTCTAGTGGGGAAACAGGGAGAAAAAGAAGACAATGGACACAATGTCCTTTCCAAATGTGTAGGTAAAATCTTTATATTCTGAAAACAGTTGATTGAAAACTTATTTCAAGCAGTAATGTATTTCATGCTTATTTCTTTTTCTTTCCAGACTTCTGAACGTGACCAGTTGCAAAAGCTCCAAAAGGAGATCATTTATACTGGAGCAAAGTTTAAATAGTATATATTAAGAACATAGTTCTTTGCACTTTAAAAAACAGTAAAAAATTATTCAACTGTATAGCTGTAGTCAGACAGCCACCAGATACATAAGTTTCTATATATTTAGTTGCTGACAGTGTCTGCCCAGTCTATGGAACCGTCTCCCTACAGAATGCCATTTGGCTGTACCCCTAATTGTATCTGGAAACAAAAATTCATTGGAGTCCTGTTTACTTTTATTCCTGGTAGTCTAGAAATATTTCCAGTTCACTGACACTTTGGTTGCAAATCAGTAAGTTTCTCCACAGAAACATCACCCCTCATTAAAAACCAGGACAGGCACAAGGCACAGGCAGTGCTGCTGAGGGCAGTTGACAACCGCAGCGAGCAAAGCTAATTTTCCCTTTGCCCAGTCGTGAGGAGGTAGCGATGCTGCTGGACCATATAGCAACCACCTACTGCTAAGATCAGGGAAGGCCACTCCTAGCAAACTCATGCTTCATGGAGGCACCACAGCAAGGATTCTCCTTCTTCAGGCAGCTGTGCTCTGCGCCTCCAGTCACAACGAGACAACCTAGAGCACACAGGTTAGATGTTCCCTGCCAACAGGGTAACTCTTACCTGGGCTTGTGAAGGTCTAAAAGCGGAGTCAAAGCCATTCTGTAGAGAGTCCAGAAAAGGCTGGATTTTGTAGAGACCGTGTGTTGTCTGGCTCGAGCGGAAGGCCACAATATGGAAGTACTTCAGGATCTTCTCAAACCGTGATTGTGTCATGATAAGTGCAATGCTCTTGTTGCTGTAGAAGCCGCTGCTCCAGATGCTGAGAACAGACTCACAGTGGTGGATGCTGGTTGATATCATGTAGCCTAAGAAGGCCTTCATTTCTGACAAGGTGACGTCAATCCAGGCTTCATCACTACCGAACCTCTCCTGGTACTTCTTAGCATACATGTTGGTTTGGACCACCATATTCTTGAGTACGTTGTCAGGGACAAAGAGCTGAAAAAAGTCCATGGCACTGGCAGTTAGAGGCATTTTTCGTGTCGGACCTAGGACAAAAGCAAGAAGGGAAGATAAGCTCACTTCTGATCATCATAAGGCATGTCCAACACTAGCAATTTAAAGCTGGATTAACTTTTCCAAAGCAGGCCAAAGTGATGGCATATCAGCTAATTCCTTTGAAAGTGGATCCACTGTCTGACAGATCTCATAGGGAAACTTTCCCCTATATTCTCTGTCTTCCTCCTATATAGTACAAATTCAACACGCTCTGAATAGTTTCTTCCTCTGCTCTGCACACTCATTAGTTTGTAGCATGCAGGTCTGTGAGGCAGAATTGAATTTTTACACTTATGCACTCTCTGTACCTTTTACCTCAGCAGCTGTTTTACCTTTTTCTGAACAGTCTTTTATTTGTCCATATTTGTGTCAAGCAGTGCCTTCCTCAAAACAGCCCAGACAGGTGCCTGACACATCCAGAGAGGAAGTGCTGCCCCCATTGCAGCTGATAGGATTCCTGGGCACTAGAACCTGATCCCACCTTTTCTTTAGCATTTCCAATTCCTGCCCAGTTCATTGCCATTAATCTGTGACTTTCAAATCTGACTCTGCTCCACACACAGAGCCCTGCAGATCATGTCCATGTGCTTTTGATTACCGTGTCTCTGCCACCACACTGGAGCCTTATCTTGCACTCTGACAACCCCGAGAGCTCACGTCAACAGACACCACATGGCTGGTGGCACTGTCCCACGTCACAAGGAATATTTTTAGCATTACAATGCATATGCTGGTCCTCTTCCTCCTATAACATAATAAGCCTTGCAGTTCCATGCTGTCATTACTCTAGTCTTTTCACTGATCTTGCACCTTCTCTGCCAGTTTCAACCATTCTGTAAGAAGAGGAGGGGGAGGGAAAGGGAGGCTCTGAGGGTTGGCAGCCCTGTATCAGTGTAACAAGGTTATCCAGTCAGACACCAGATTACATTAAGCCGAATTAGGAACATCGTGCCTGCAATACCAGCAACCCAGACATGAGCAGTCCTTACAGCCCTCTCTCCTCAAAACCCTTCTATAAGCTAATTAAACTCCATTTTAAAAGTAGTGTTTTTCAAGTCTCCACCCCGTGCCAGTGCTTTAGTCACTAGGTAAGGGCTAAAATCATTACACCAGAGAGGGGCAGCATGGGCAAACCCAATGGACAGGGCAGTGCTTAAGAGCAGTCCTACATCTCTCTGCAAAAGACAGCGTCAGGATTGTAACCCCAAACTAAGAATTGGATCCAAGAAACACTGTGTCATAGTTTAATGGCCTTGGGACTGTCTGAAAATGCTCTTTCTGAACAACAGCAGGAGGCAAACAGCTTCTCCTCTGAAGTTCTCCCTAACAAGAGTGAGTCTTCCTTGCACCACGCAGCTGCTTGGATCTCTGCATCAGCTCTCCCAGCTGAATCAGAGCACGAGATTTGCCACTCTACCATCTGGCTCTGCAAAGATCCACTGCCAAGTCAGTCAGGTTGCATTCCCCATTACAGCTGTATCTCAGCTCACATCCCTAGTTACAGCAACAGCTACAGCTGGCAGAAACTTTGCATGGAACAGTACTAGAAGGAACTACACAAATACTGTGGTTGGACTTGCTCTTAAGCCTTAATGCTTGGGTGCACTCTGATGAACTCAAGCTATTAGAAGGACAGCAAAAATAGCACTGAGACATTGAAACAGTGAACCTTCAGACTGCAAAGAATACCAAAAGAGCAAAGAAAGTAGACTTTTTTTCTTTTCCACAAATGCATTGAGGAGGGAACATATATTTAAAAATTACTTTCCAAATTTAATTTGTGAGATTGAGAAACTGAAAGCCAAACAGTTCAGTTGAAAGTGCATTCCTCTATCTAGCAAGACCAGAGTAAAGAGCCCCACATAAACCATGTTCTGGTAAGGACAGAGCAGAAAATTTTAGCTTGAGTGATAACAGGTTTTCATTATCAAGTGAAAACTGTGGCGCTAGAATAGATATACTTACTTAACCTTAACTGCTACTGCAATAATAAAGCCTCTTAACAAAGAGCTCTCTTCTTTTGATCAGGAGATTCATATTCTGCAGCAGTCGCTAGACTGTTAGAGCTGACATAAGACCCTCTGCAAAAGATTCTGTATGAATGACTTACAGCACATCACTTCCTCCTTTCCCAGAACTCAATCAAGTTTTGACATTCTGCAGTAGATCTGGCTTTCTGATAACAACATGCTGCACCCAAAGTATATTCCTAGTTATACAGAAGTCTTGAGTAGCTACTGAATTCAACTCCAGCACCCAGGCAACCTTCCAGGTGG